TTTCAAAGAACATAAAGTGCTATACTTTATCAATACGGTGCTATACTATTGTCATAAAGTGTTATACTTTGCCATAAGATATTATACTTTATTAATAAGCCATTATACTTTCCCGTAAAGTGCTATACTTTTCCAAAATCTAAAAAATTAAGCGAGGACCTCTCGTCGAGGTGAATAATTGATCAATCAACACATAATATAGGTCATCGAGTGTTTACATTGCTCCGAAAATTTTGATTTGGTTTACCCACTAAGTGGCAGAATTTCTAGAGATAATAAGGTGTTATTCTTTATCAATAAGGTGTTATACTATTGCCATAAAGTGCTATACTTTGCCATAACGTGCTATATTTTATTAATAAGTTGCTATACTTTCCCATAAAATGTTATACTTTTTCAAAAGCTAGAAAATTGAGTGAGGACCTCTCGTCGAGGTGGATAATTGATCAAGCAACACATAATATAGGTCATCGAGTGTTTGCATTGCTCCGAAAAAACTGATTTGGTTTATCCCACTAAGTTGCTAAATTTCCAAAGACCATAAAGTGCTATATTTTAACAATAATGTGCTATACTATTACCATAAAGTGCTATACTTTATCGTAAGGTGCTATACTTTATCAATAAGCTGCTATACGTTCTCGTAAAGTGCTATACTTTTCCAAAAGCTGGAAAATTGAGCGAGGACCTTTCGTCGAGGTGGATAATTGATCAAGCAACACATAATATAGGTCATCGAGTGTTTGCATTGCTCCGAAAAAACTGATTTGGTTTACCCACTAAGTGGCAGAATTTTCAGAGACCATAAGGTGCTTTACTTTATCAATAAAGTGCTATACTATTGCCATAAGTGCTATACTTTGCTGTAAGATGCTATACTTTATCAATAAGCTGCTATACTTTCTCGTAAAGTACTACACTTTTCCAAAAGCTGGAAGATTGAGCGAGGATCCCTCGTCGAGGTGGATAATTGATCAAGTAACACATAATATAGGTCATCGAGTGTTTGCATTGCTTCGAAAAAACTGATTTGGATTATCCCACTAAGTTGCATAATTTCCAGAGACCATAAGGTGCTATACTTTATCAATAAGATGCTATACTATTTGCCATAAAGTGCTATATTTTGCTATAAGGTGCTATACTTTATCAATAAGCTGCTATATATTCTCGTAAAGTGCTATACTTTTCTAAAAGCTAGAAAATTGAGCGAGTACCCATCGTCGAGGTGGATAACTGATCAAGCAACACATAATATAGGTCATCGAGTTTGCATTGCTCCGAAAAAAAATAGATTTGGTTTATCCCACTAAGTTGCAGAATTTTCAGAGAACATAAAGTGTTATACTTTATCAATAAGGTGCTATACTACTGCCATAAAGTGCTATACTTTGCCATAAGGTGCTTTTTATCAATAAGCTGCTATACTTTCTCGTAAAGTGCTATACTTTTCCAAAAGCTTGAAAATTGAGCGAGTACCTCTGGTCGAGGTGGATAATTGATCAAGAAACACATAATATAGGTCATCGAGTATTTGCATTGCTCCGAAAAAACAGATTTGGTTTATCCCACTGAGTGGCAGAATTTTCAGAGACTATAAAGTGCTATATTTTATCAATAAGGTGCTATACTAATGCCATAAAGTGCTATACTTTGCCGTAAAGTGCTATACTTTATCAATTAGCAGCTATACTTTCCAGTAAAGTGCTATACTTTTCCAAAAGCTGGAAAATAGAGTGAGTACCTCTCGTCGAGATGGATAATTGATCAAGTAACACATAATATAGGTCATCGAGTGTTTACATTGCTCTGAAAAAATTGATTTGGTTTATCCCACTAAGTTGCAGAATTTTCAGAGACCATAAAGTGCTATACTTTATCAATAATGTGCTATACTACTGCCATGAAGTGCTATACTTTGCCATAAGGTGATACTTTATCAATAAGCTGTTATACTTTCCCATAAAGTGCTATACTTTTCCAAAAGCTAAAAAATTGAGCGAGGACCTCTCGTCGAGGTGGATAATTTATCAAGCAATACATAATATAGGTCATCGAGTGTTTGCATTGTTTCGAAAAAAACTGATTTGGTTTATCCCACTAAGTGGCATAATTTTTAGAGACCATAAAGTGCTATACTTTATCAATAAGGTGCTATATTACTACCATAAAGTGATATACTTTGCCGTAAGGTGCTATACTTTATCAATAAGCTGCTATACTTTCCCTTAAAGTATTATACTTCTCTAAAAGCTGGAAAATTGAGCGAGGACCTCTTGTCGAGGTGGATAATTGATCAAGAAACATATAATTATAGCATGAAACAACAAATACACAACACCACTACAAAATTCAACACACTATGCAACATAATGTATAACATATAATAAAGTTAACTGGACATTTATATTCAGTGGCCAAAGTCAACACTACCCAAATTTGACACTACAAAATCAACACAAAATGAAACTGCCAAGTACACGGATCTAAGCTCTTGCATAACTTCAACATTCAGGACATCCAAGACATATATATTCGGAGTCTACTTCCAGAGTAAAAGCATATTCTAGTAAATCTGATTCTCCGAGATAAATACAATAGCGATTTTTGCTCTTAGAAGTTCACAATCGTTCTGATGAATGAATGGAAGTGTGCTGTTGATGATGGAATATATGTTTCCCATCATGAAAATATCGCAATCTAAGCTTCTATACAAACAAATACCACAATCAATGATTACATGATAAAATAATAATATTTTAGGAAAAACAACCATAATAATACATTTTAAGTTATAGTCATACCCATCCTGTTGAGGAACCTGTCGGGTTTCTGTACTATACCCATCCACATTTTCTATTTTTCATTCATCTTTTATGAAAGCTAAGAAATTGTTCATGAACATCTTGGCATCATTAAGATATTTAATGCCAATGACTATTGCTAAGAATAGGAAAAATAATCTTCTCGCATTCTTCAAAGCGTGCATGTGGAAGCTATCGACCCTTGAGTTATCTTGCCCAATGATCGAGATTATCTTGTAGTAACGCTCTCTGTTAAAACATGACAATAATATTTAACAAAAAATAATTTAAATGATAGTAAATTTTCCTAATACTACACTATTCGCTCATGTAGCTCTATTTCCTCTTACCAAAACAGAGGCAAACTAAATAAATAGGTGGTGGACAGCGAGTCACTACCCTGACAACTAAGTATTCTCTTAAAACTACTAACTTTCACGTACAATGATCTAATTTTTATGTTGTAATTCTTCCCCATTCCTAACACCAACAAAAGCCCACAAGAAGAAAATTAGAATTTGAGTAACCAAAAATCATCAAAATCAAATATTAACAAGAGAGAACACTAAGCGTAAATTTAACGAACAAGTGGTGGGTAAAGAGTTAAACTAACCTGATAGCTCGTCTCATTCTCTCGAATTCGCATGCAATGAAGAACAACATAACCCACATCCTCCTGTCGAACCCACTTCCTCTAAGCGCCAAGGATCCTCACCATTGTAGTCGGCTAATGCGAAGGCAGCTCTTTACAAAGTCAGGCGATCTTTGACCTCCGCCATTGCTCCAGGAGCTCCTCAAGCTCTGCCACCTCCAATGACGGCGAGGACAAGTGCTTCAGGTCCCTGTTTGTCGCGACGTCAGCGAATTGGAAGGGGGGAGTCGATGTCAAAACCGTTGGTGGGCTGTTCATCTGATTCGAGGTCGACAGTGGTGTGTGATGTAGAGACGACGAGAGATAGGGGGCGACAGAGGCAGAGGTTGATGGGTTTGAGGGAGGAGGGGAAGTGAAGGGAGGGGAGAGGAGGGGGTTGGTGGTGGTGGTTGAAGGAGAAGAGGAGGGAAGAAGAAAGCTATAGGCTAAGATCAGTTATATTTTGGGGATGAAGGGTAGTTTAGTAACTTTCAATTTATCGAGGTGAATACAGTATAAATAATGGGTGTATTGTACATGTTAGGTTTAAAAATAAATAGGATGAGATATAATGAGTGTATTGATGTTTAGAAAAGTGGGTAAGTTTTTAAATAAGTGGGGGTAAAGCTTTGGGTTAAAAAAGAAAAAATCCCTAATTTTTTTAGGGAAAATGAGGGATATTTTTCTCTTTTTCTTTTTTTTTGCTAGGTGTGGTGTTTTCATTAGCAATCTAAATTTTAAATGTGAGATAACCTGGAATTGGTTAAACAATCCACAAAATTGGAGAAATACTAGAAAAAAGCTTTAAAATGTTATTGTAGTAACAATGTAGTTATTATAGTAGCTTCTATCGTTTTGCTTTAGTAGTAAAGTAATAGATAACCTGATGGAGCTGGCTCTAAAGTTTTTTAGTTACCAAGATGGAGCTGGCTCGTGCCTTGGACATGCCACCCGTTCCTATTTAATGAAAATCCAAATAGAATCTGGACGAGATATTAAAGAGAATTGTTAGAGAAATATCGAAAGTCTAAGATAACAAAATGCTAGAGAAATATTTTGGAGTACCAAAGTGAATTAGGACCAAAACTTTCGAGGTACCAAATTGTCTGGAAACTACTTTGAGGCATGAGAACGAAAAAGTGGGCAAAACTTTAGGGCAACGAAGTCAAAATAAGCCACCACATAATCGAAAGGTTTTTTTTACACACATAATCAAAATGTTCTTTTTACATAGGCCCCTTATTATATTTTATATTTTGAAATTAGTACTTCAAATCATTGAAATTGCTAGCCCCCAACTCTTAAACTATTTCAAAATTAGTCCCTCAAATCATTGAAATTGCTCTAAGGTCCCTAGTTCTTAAGTTATTTCAAAAATCAAGCCATCAAATAAAGAGTAGAGTTAGCGATTAGAGGGACCTATTTTAAAGAACTCATGAGAATCGATGGGCGTAATAGAAATTTCGATATACAACAAGCTCCATGGAGCAGGCATGTGTCCTTCCTTACCAGTCATCATAAGAACTTGAAGCGTAAAACCGGCAATTACGCAGGGCTCGTGTGGCTACTGTCAATAAACCCAACCAGAATCCTGAGTTTGGGTATCAAAGAAGTAACCGGCTCCCAGAAACGACCCGACCCGTCTTCGGACGGCGGTCGGGTACCCCCAGTTCCAACGTCCTCCTCTTTAGAGCTGAGCTGAGCTGGGCTCCCAAAACCCTCATCTCCTTATTTTTAAGCAAATCGAAAAATGCCAACCCTCGCTCGTCTCCCATCAATTCAAATCCCAATTTCTCTCCCTCTCTTCTCTGGATCCCCAATCAATCTCCCCCCTCTCGGCTCTCTCTCCAGAACCTCTCCTCGATCCCGACCGCTCTGCGCCGCCGCCGCTCCTGCGCCCGTCGTCGCCGCCACTGATGAGAAATACGGAAGCAAGCAAGTCGTCAGCCTCACTCCTCAGATTTACGATTACGTCTTGTCCAACGTCCGAGAGCCCCAGGTAAACTCGAAAGAATTGATTGTTTTGGTGAAACCTCTGATTTATGTCTGAGTTTGTGGCATTTGATTTGATTTCAGATTCTTAGGGAGCTTCGAGAGGAGACGGCGAGCATGCAAGGGAGCCAGATGCAGGTCAGGTTTTGTTGTGGCGCCTTCTTGATTGTTGTTTGGGTCTAGGTTCTGTAGTTGTGGATTACTGAAAGCTGCCTGAAATTAATTTTGGTTCCTCGAATCTTAGGTACTCTAAAACAAGTCCTCGAAGCACTCGTATCTTTTAGATAAATCCACCTAAATCTCGTTAGTTGTATCAAATATGTCCCTCATGTGAGAATATGTTCTCTTTTAACTCCTCATAAACTTAAGACCGGTAAAAAAAAAAAAAATTCTGCTTGTATCCGCATATCTACTTAAATCTCTTTTCCGGCTAATACCTACAGAGGTCATCTCTCTTTATTTCTTACACCGTGGAAAACCAACCCAAGTCCTTCATTTTTCTCACTTTTGTCCTTCCTCATTTTCCTTAATTTTCGAGTCACATTTTTGTGATTCTTCTTTACTACTCATTGTTTAATCTTGTCTTTGCAGTAGCAATGTTACATTAAACGCTGGGTGCTTCTAGGCGTCGGACTTGGCGCCCAGCGCTTAGTCATCTAGTCGGACGCTTAAGCGGTTTCTGGGCGTTTTTTTTCTTTTTTCTTTTTGATTGTTATACTCTCAACTCAAATTACAACATGTATTAAATTCATATAAATTTTCAAAAAAAGATAGCAATTTTAGTTCCACAATAAATCATGCATACTTAGATACTAAATAGCCAAAATAATAATTAACAAGGCTAGAGCCTAAGATGTTTTCTTTTTTATTTTTAATTACAATAATTGATAGTGAATGTCAATGTTACAGAAAGCTTAGATGTCGGACTGGTGTCTAGGCGGATTTCTTTCTTCATTTAAGTGGTGGTCGATGAGGTTTTGTTGAAGGTCGGAGGAGGTAGTGGAGGTGTTCATATTTGGAGGTTAATGGAGTTTGGAGGGCGTGTAAGCTACAACACATAAAATCATAACCAAGACCTACAGGGTACAATCCACATAAGCAGACAATGCTCCTCTAAACGCTTGTAAAATCTAGGTGGGCAACCTAAATACCGCCTAGTCGCTAGGCACTAGTTAGACGGACTAGGTACCGCCTAGGCCTAGGCGAACGCCTAAGCGGACTAGACGGAGGTTTTTTAAAACAGTGTGCAGTGGTTTATATTTCAGATAGGTCAAGTTTATAAAGCAGAAAATTTGTGAAGATGATGAGGATATAATGGAAAACTTCAAAGTATTAAGTTTATTAAGGATTGGAGATAACTGATTCTAACCCAAAGAGCATATTTGATACAACTTATGAGAGTTGGGGGACCTTTTCATTTGAGGGACCAATTTCAAAAAAAAAAAAAAAAACCTGGGCTAAAATCATCATTTTCGTGCCTATGATATATCATATAACATAGGCTGGAGGATGCCAATTTAAATAAAACAACTTTCAGTATCATTTGGCAATGCAAACATTTAGAAAAATGTGGAATGTATCACAGGAGCAAAATAACTTGTCCTAATTGATTTTTCCTAAAAGCAGAACCGATTTTCTACTAACAATATTCTAATTATAGGTTAAGTAATCTGCTAATGGAATGTTTTATGAGAAACAAGATATTCATAAAATAATTGACTAGATGGTAGTTAAAAACTTAAAGTTACAGTGAACTACTTGTACAGTGCAATATAACAAAATAATATCATCAAAACCGTTTGGTTGACAAGTGATTGAGAGTAAGTTAATTGATACTCAAATATGGTTGATGGTAGAACTCGGTTGGACAAGTTAATCTAAATTGGTCAAAACTGGAACCAAGATGAAGCTGAATGCTTAAATAGGTCAATTCTAATCAAAGTAATAAAACCAATATATAGTTTATGTAGTATAAAGTTCTTTGTTGTAATAGAGCGCAAAAGGTAGAGAATAAATTAGTGGAAAAGGAAATAAATATATTATTTTATCTTATTATCATGCACATCCATTTGATTTTGTTTTCTTTGTAACTTTAACTCCTATATCTTTGATTATGCTTGAACTATCTTTATTCTCATAATAAATTCCATTAAATTGCTTGACTTGTAGTTAGATTCTAAGGAGATATATTTGTTATTGTTCTTAGGGTCCAATAAATTACAATAAATTGCTATATAAATATTATAATCTACTAATTAAATTAGATAAATGAGAAGTTTATAATGACTTGAATCGCTATTTAAAAACTTCTACTAAAAACCCAAGATCTTTTCTAATTGCTTCCTCAAGAGAAAAAACCTTCAATTGAATTCCCCTGTCACTGAGAGGATGCGATACAAAAGAGAAGGATCTCTAAAGCTTAAGTTTCCTTAAACATTCTTCATGGTCAAATAATAGTTAGTTTCCTTCACACACCATCCATGGTTAGACTTCCCCTCTTTATTTGCATTATGAAAGTCCTCACGTTTTTGTTCCATGCAATGTAGACCTATTCTCTGATTAGGGAGGTTCTAAGTTCTAATGCACATTTCCATGGTGACAAGCTCTCATGCAAACATAAGGAATATGAGGTAAGGCAAGAACTTGAAGATGGATTGATCACTCTTTGACGATAGGAAATGGAGCCATAGTTTCAGCTCTATCAATAGGAACCTTCCTTTTGCATCTGAACCGAAGGCATGCAATGGAATTTAAAGATTGTCTTATGTTTCTTTAGTTAGGAGAACCTGATTTCCATTTCTAGACTTTGTAGTAGTGGATATTCTATTTTGTTTTGAATTAAAACTTCTACCAAGTTTGGAAATTCTGTTGCTGCTTATTGTGAGCTAGAAAATTGTTTATAATTCATGTCTACTTCCCTCAACTCTTATGCAAATGTGGTTGGAAATGATTAATCTCTTAAATGATGTTTGTATTAAGGTAATCTAACATATCTTTGGCACACAAGGTTAGGTCATATTTGTCATGCCCCCCAAACTTAGACTTATTGTAATAAAACCTAATTTTGGTGTGTGAGTTGTAAACTTATACAATATTAACAACTAGCTTTTTTTCCTTTAATTGCTATTTTACATATATAGTACATAACATGCTTCTTCTTTAGCTGTTTACAAGTCGATTTATAGGAATAGTTCCCAAAAGTTTTTCCGCAACGGTTCTCTATTTATGCTCCTTCCTGATTTGAAAAAGGTGGATTCATAAAAGAATGAGCTACATTAGCGCTGTGAGATTACCAAGGTTGAATTATAAAATAAACTAAAAAACCAAATTGATGGTAATAATTAATGACGTATGAGATGCAATTTCGTCAGTGACCACTTTACCTACAGATATCTCCTTATGTCCCCATCCACGATAAACGATAACAATACCGATAACAATTTGAGGCATAAGCCCCGCATAATGTGGATATATGTCGATCGATCAATCAATCAATTAATTTACCCAATTAACATTGGTGGTTCCTTTTCAGTGTTACCAATCAATACAATATGTGTGGTATTGAGGTTGTATTATGTATGTGCATGTAAAGTAATTGTCAATAGTATGTTGTAGAAATTTAACAGTTCAAAAAATAAAATAATATTTTTATCCTTACCGGACGAAATATAAAGAGCACTAAGACTTCATTAGCTTTGGAACATAATACAACGTCATTAGTACGATAAGTTAGTTGAAAAGTAAACGAAGCTTGACACTTCATTGACACGAGAACAAAAGCCTTTAAAAATATAAAGCTAAAATATAGTTTTAAGAGATGGGAATCTCACCTTCCACTTTACCACACTTCTTGATTTTGAGTATGATATGTTTTTCTTGAAGAGAGTTTTTATCAATGATGTGAACATAATGCAAAAATTCTCTTGTTTATATAATTTGTTATTGCGTCCACCTCTACTTCTTATTGGGCACAAGTTTTCACCTTATCCTATGGATAGAGTTTTACAGTTCCTCCAAATGACCTATTTACTTTGTTGTCAAATAATTAGGCATGAAGCAACATGATCTAGACACTTGTGTATTGTGTTGTTAAATTCTCTAACATGACACGTTTTATGCTATGTCTTGAACTTACCCAAGTTATATGGCTTACCAAATCACATAACTAAGCCTAATGTGAGAAAAGAAAATTAATTATACTAATATTTCTCATACTAATACTTATGTCACTTCTTTACGTGTCATTAATTATGATGGGTCATGTTATATAAATACTTAGGATTATTACCATGTTAAATATAAAAGTTGATAAGATGTTACTGGTGTTAAAAAACAATTAGGTAGGTTGTTACAACTATCAAAATTTCGTCCTTGAAATTTTACCTAAGCTTGAAACATAAATGCATACTTCTTCCGCATTTCTTCTTCTTTTTCCTAAGTGCATCTTCTACGCCATGATGAGTCCACAATATTTTCACAAGTGGAATGTTTCTATTTCTCAATTCTTCGACTTTGGAGTCCAATATTCGCATTGGTCTTTCTTCATAGGACAAATCAACTTTCAATTTTAAAGGCTTGTAGTCGAGGACATGAGATTGGTCTGGATGTGTAATTCTTAAGAAGTAAAATATAGAATACGTCATGTGTCCCACCTAAACTAGGTGGTAAAGAAGTCGATAGGTCATGTTTCCTACTTTCTCTAAAAAATCTAAAGGCCCAACGTACCTTGGACTGAGTTTAGTGCCTTTTCCATATTTGACTACCCTTTCAAGGTGATATTTTAAAGAATACTTTATCACCCACTTGAAATTCCAAATGCCTTCGCTTATCTGCATAACTCTTTTGCACTCTTTTGCCTACTTTGAGCTGTCAACGTTTTTTGTCTAATTTTACGAAGTTTATCGATTGCTTCTTCCAACATAGGAAAAAGGTGTGGTTGCTAAGTTTTTCTCTCACCTATTTCATCCTAATGAATAGCCGACCCGCACCTTCAACCGGACAATGCTTCAAAAGGCGTCATTCGATGATGTCTTGAAAACGATTATTACAAAGTGTAAGGTGTTTCTCCTAATTTCCACCAAAATCAAGTACACAGGACCTTAGCAGTGCCCTCTAATATTTGCATTGTTCTCTCTAAT